GCCTGACAAACTCTCCCGCGACGTTCCAAACGATGATGAATGACATTTTCCAGGACCTCATCCTCTCCGGAGACGTCATGATCTACCTTGACGACATCCTGATCGCCCATTCCGACCTCCGGAAACACCGGCAGATCGTTCAGGAGGTCTTGCGGCGACTCCGAGAGCACAAGTTGTACCTCCGAGCGGAGAAGTGCGACTTTGAAAAATCGTCAATCGAGTACCTCGGAGTCATCATCTCCCACAACCACGTCGAAATGGACCCCGTCAAGGTCGCAGGCGTCTCCGCCTGGCCGACTCCGGAAAACAAGAAGGATGTTCAGCAGTTCCTTGGGTTCGCTAATTTCTACCGCAGGTTCATTCGCGACTTCTCGGCCCTCGCGGCCCTCTCTTTGCGCTCACCAAGAAGGACCAGCAATGGACTTGGGGCGACGCGGAGGCCTCCGCGTTCCAAGCGATCAAGGACGCGGTCACCTCGGAACCGGTCCTGGCGATTCCGGACGACGCACGGCCTTTCCGACTCGAGGCGGACAGCTCTGATTATGCGACGGGGCGGTTCTTTCACAATCCGCCCCGGACGGGAAGTGGCACCCTGTAGCATTCTATTCCAAAAGCTTAAATGATGTCCAGCGCAACTACGAAATCCACGACAAGGAGATGCTCGCGATCATCCGCGCACTCGAGGAGTATAGACACTTCCTCGAGGGTGCCGCGCATCCCGTCGAGATCTGGACTGACCATAAGAATTTGGAGTACTTCAGGAAGACGCAGCACCTCAACCGGAGACAGGCCCGCTGGTCCCTCTACCTCTCCCGGTTCGACTTCACGCTGCACCACAAGCCCGGTCGCGACATGGGCCGACCTGACGCCCTCTCTCGGAGACCCGACCACGGAATCGATTCCGACAACTCCGGCGTCGTCCTTCTGCGGCCCGAACTCTTCCACGTCCGCGCACTCGAGGGTGTTTCCGTTTCCGGTCCCGGTTCCGAACTTCTTCGCGACATTCGCGATGCCCTCTCCGGTGAGCCTGACCTGGAGGAGCCCGTCGCACTAGCGGCCCGGCAACTCCTAAAGGTCCAAGGTCAAGCTCGAGGCCCCCCTCCTCACGCTCCGACGAGTGGGCCGTCTCCGGTGGTCTTCTCCACTTTCGTGGGAAGATTGTCGTGCCCAAGGACAAGGACCTCCGGAGGCGCATCATCGAGCTCTGCCATGACACTCGAGTCGCCGGACATGCCGGTCGCTTCAAGACCTTGGAGTTGGTCTCCCGGAACTACTGGTGGCCTCAGATGTCTCGCCATATCGGCCGGTACGTCGCGACCTGCGACTTGTGCTGTCGCACCAAGGCGCTCCGGAGACTGCCCCACGGAGAGCTACACCCGACGGAAACACCCCCGAGCGCTGGCATACCGTCTCCGTCGACTTCATTGTCGAGCTCCCCGAGGCCCATGGGTACGACGATCATGGTCGTCGTGGACACCCTTGGGAAGCGAGCCCACTTCTCCGAGTGCCATACCACGGTCGACGCAGTAGGAGCAGCCCGCCTCTACTACCGGAATGTCTGGCGCCATCACGGGACTCCGGAGAAGTACGTCTCCGACCGTGGCTCACAGTTCATCGCGGACTTCACCCGAGAACTCTGGCGTCTAATCGGCATCAAGCCAGCCACGTCCACCGCGTATCATCCGCAAACGGACGGTCAGACAGAGCGCGTCAACCAGGAGTTGGAGCAGTACCTGCGGATCTTCACCAACTATCAGCAGGACGACTGGGATGAGCTGATTCCGGCCGCGGAGTTCGCTTACAACAACCACGTCCACTCATCCACGCAGCAAGTCCCCTTCATGACGGACACGGGACGGCTTCCGCGCATGGGCTTTGAACCCGGAGCCCGTTCCGCTATGGAGTCTGTGAACGAGTTCCGCGACCGAATTGCCACTGGGGTTGCCGAAGCCAAGGCCGCGCTCACTAAGGCCAAGGAAGAGTATAAGCGCTACTACGACCGGAGACGCACTCCGTCTCCGGAGTTCAAGGTTGGCGACCGTGTTTGGCTGGATGCCTCTGACATCAGGACGACTCGCCCCTCGGAGAAGTTCTCCCACCGCCGCCTCGGTCCGTTCAAGATAGTCGCGGAGATCAGCAAAGGTGCCTACAAGCTCGACCTCCCTCCGCGCTACTCGAAGCTCCACCCGGTCTTCCCCGTCGTCAAGCTTGAGCTCGCCCAAGACGACCCCTTCGACGGACGCCCCGGCTACGACCAGCCCCCTCCGGACCTCGAGGACGGAGTCCCGGAGTGGGAAGTAGAGGAGATCTTGGACGCAAGGGTGAGGTATAAACGGCTGAATTACTTCGTCAGATGGAAAGGCTACGACGTCGCCGACGACCAGTGGGTCCGCTTCGACCGCGTCTTCGCCCCGGACAAAATCGCGGAGTTCTACCGTAAGTACCCTGGCAAACCACGGCACATCGCCTCCGCAACCTTCGACTCGATTCCGTTCCGGTCTATGCGTCGGGACGCCGCATTCAAAGGGGGGGTGATGTCAGGGGAACCTCCCTTTCGGCCCCTCGGAGACGATCCCGATTCCGGTCCGACTCGGTTCCGACTCCGGTGATCGCATCACCGCCTCCGTCAGGCGCATCGCCGCCCCCCGCCTGGCGATCCCCCTGGGACCTGGCCTGCGACATGGCGCAGGCATACTGCACGGAGCAACGATCAACCTTGGCGCGTCAAGAGCGCAGTATATAGTTCCGCTACCTAGCAGGCGGACCCTTAGAGTTTCTTCTCTTTGGATCCTCCCCTGCTAGGTCAGCCTCACTTGTATTTGCTTACTTCTATTCACTCTTTGGATCCTCCCCTGCTAGGACCTTGATCTCAGGCCTCCGGGGTTGCCCTTACACCCGCAAGGACGTTCATCCGGATCAAGTAATTCGTGACCAGGCTACCACTTTTGTCGAACAACTCGACTCTCGGCTACGAACCATAGCTACAGAGTCTCTTTGGCAGCGTGGCATTCTTGATGAAGTCCGCGAAGATCTGAATCGGAAAGAGCGAGCAAGGGAGTCAATACCAAAGCCTGAAGGGACCAAACGAGAACGTTCGGACACGGTTGGTCCGGCCCCAGGTGCTAGAGGCCGTAGTTCCCGAAAAACGGCATCATCGCGAAAACGAAAATCGGCAAACGATGGCAGGTGTGGATCAACAGTTTAGGGGGGCTAAGTCTCAGAGCTTAGAGATGGATGAAGAGGATGAAGAAGCCAATAGACCATCCTGGTGGCGTGATCGCTCATGCCCTCGGTGTTCTCAGGGAGATTCTGCGAAGTTTTGTGTCCGTATGGTGGAGGTGAAACGAAACATGGATGCCGACAAGTTTCTTGACTATGCTCTCACTCGTGCCCAGGGGAAGAGCCGTTTGCAGCCACGTAAATTTCAGGTCAATGTTTAGTCTTTTGGGAAAGGAAAATACTAATAATAGGTCTAGACCCAATCCTCCGGAAAACAAAAGCGTCAGAACTACATCTCGCCTGATGATCCACGTCTCCAACTCCAGTACTATCACTGCCGGCGGGATGTGGCTCAGACCTGTGGCCGAGATATTGTGCGCTTTTATTCTAGGGAGGGTAGCAAGTCTCGACTGGTATGCCTTACATATTTGCTCCTAGTCAACGCTTGGTATTCATGGTGATTTTTAGGTTGGCGGTGTCAACTTTTGTGCTTTCTCCGACAAGATTCTTGCGATATTAAGAGATAATCATCGACTTGTCCAAGTCAATGGTATTCGACGACGCGCAGCTATGGACAACTGGTCCCACATTGGTACCATGACTGGATATGGCACCCGACAACCCAAAGGCGGTATCAAGGGCGACATTTACAACGCTTATGCAAAACATAGTGGAGCTACCCCAGAGGATCTTCTCGCTCTCATGCGACATGCCATGGTACCTTATTACTATCTCATTATGTGTCCTAACTATGCCCAGACATTGAACTTACTGGTGGAGGGTTCCCGGACTATCTGGTCCGGCGCTCCCACCTATTACAAAAATCTTGTTGAGGAATCTGAGTTAACATATCTAGGAAAATACGGTCTTACTGGCTACCATTGCAGTAATTTTGTCAGTTGCATTCATCGCGATGATGATATTGATGGAGGCTGCCTTCATCCCTGCTTTCAGCTCGCCAAAGAAAACTGTGGTCCTCTCGACTTCAACTTTGCATATGTTGAGTGGGGTGTTGCCATTGAAACGGTTCCTAATGCCTTATGGTTTGTCATTCATGTTCAAGTTTATAGCTGAGTCTTGATAAAAAGATAGGTTGTTTGACGGGCGGGATAGCCATGGCTCTATCATGCCTAGTGCTGAAGCTATCAATGCAGGGGCACGGTCTGAGGGAGATCATGGAAGTAATAATCGTCGGAACGTCAATCGGGCACGTACTTGTCGGAATGGACTCAATCACTATAATCTTCGGAGTCAGGCTGCTTTGGGTGTGGTGTAGTACAAGAGACACTAGAGCACTGCTTGTATTGGTGACCAATCTTTTTAAAAATTGTCTTATCTATAAAAATGGCGGTCTTATAGAATCTTTTGATGGCTGACGTGACATGTCACAAAAAGCTCGAAATGTCACAACATCACGAAAAAGCTCCACCCCTCAGAACCTGGAACCTGATATGGCATCAATTGCTCTACTCCTGTTTGGAAAAACCTCTGTTATGCAGCTCAAATCCCACCAAAAACTCAAGCTCTAATAAACAATGAAAAATGCTTTTATAACCGCCGTTCGCGCAAGGAGGTCGACCGCCGAGTGCGCCAGCTTTGATTTGAACGACAGCTTTGATTTGCAATTGTGGGGACAGTTCCCGCTGAGGGCTATTTGACAATTTAACAGAATGCAACTCGGAGGAACACTTTGAGTGTCGGAGCTCCGAAGCCGAGCCATCATTTGTCACGTACTTATCATCATGCATGCCATAAGGAATCTGTTCCTGCTTCTCACCACCATGCACCACTGTCTCGAGCTTCCCGAAATCGTCTTCAAGATCGCTTCGCACGCCGCGGAGGGCGATAACTATCGCGGCGGCCTTGCGCGCCTCGCACGAACGTGCCATCTCTTCTCTGAAGCCGCGTGCGATCAGTTGTGGTGTTCTGTGCACGAGGGAATACTGCTGCAACTTATGCGGTGTCTTTTCGGGGGACATGTGGTGCGTATCTGCATCCCGGTGCTGCACAGCTGACGGATGCAAACAGAGCGCCGGTAGCGATTTCGGCCGGGCACAGCGCTGCCTGAGCCGCATCAGACACCTACACCTGTCCTTCTCAACACCGAGGGCAGTCGATATGCTACTCTTGGCTACCTGGCTGGGCGGCCCGGCTTCGTTTCCGCGCCTAGAAAAGCTCGATTGGCAGGACGTAGATCAAGCAGAAGTTTCCGAGCTACTTGGCTCCGTCCTCTCAAGTTCACCCAGGCTCCGCACTCTACATCTAAAAGTCGCGTCTGAGGCCGCCCTACGCCACATCACTCCCATCATCGCCCAGATCCCTCTGCGCCGACTGACGTTGAAGGCTCCAGAAGACACAGACTCGGATGCCGAGGTGGTTTCGTCGCTGATCCGCTCTGTTCCTCCTCACGACCTACAATCATTGGAGGTGGATGGTCTACTGGAATACACCTTTCGCTGGCTGACAACACCTTTCGCTGGCTGACAACACTCCCAAATCTCACAAACCTGTATGTTCGACAGAGCCCAATGGACTTCCTGGGCGATATTGTGGCGACGCACGACACTGCTTCCTTTCCCAGCCTTGCACGCTATCATATCGCGGCAACAGATGCTGACAGCATCGCGCGTCATCTCACAATCCTCACGGAATCCCCGCTGCGTGATCTCCGCCTATTCTTTAACGCTGGTACAACAGCAAGTTACTCCCGCATGGTCGCTGCACTCGTCGGTCTAGCAATGCCACGACAAACATTGCGAAAGCTCGAGCTGACTGGCTGCTTATATCTGCTCGATGGAGGGGACGGCTGGCGAATAGAGCGTGCTGCAGTCCGCAGCTTGCGCCACTTTGTGGGCCGCACATCGCTCTGCCTACGATCGCCCGGGGGCTGCGATCTTGAAGATCATGATGTTGCTGCTCTGCTCAAGGCACTGCGGCAGCGCACTGAACTCCGCCTCTTGCAGCCAAACATCCCCACACGTCTCTCGTTGGCGCTGCTCCCCTCGATTGCAGCGGTCGGGCCCCTGCTGAAGAAACTGGAGCTGACGACGGACCTGGATGCGGTGCCGTTCCCCGCTGCATATCCCACAGACGCTGGCCGTCGCATGACCCAGCCAGACCTGATGCGGCTGTCGATGGGCTCCACGCGTGTTGCGGAGGCATTTGCGATGGCGCATCTGCTGACGGGGCTGTTCCCGGGGCTGCCGTCGGTGGAGCACGCCTGGCCTGACCGCGCGGACGGCGGCGCCGAGCACGCGATACGAGACGACGAACGAGCGGAGACCTTCCGGTATAGCGAAGCCTGGTATGAGGTAAAGGAGCTGATGCCCAGGCTGGCGGCCACACGGGCAGAAGAGCGGCAATGGATTCTGAAAGATAATGAATGACATTACAGTTGTTTAGATAAATTGGATCTAAGATCGGAAAGTGTTTGTGGTTACATTTCGAGTCGTCTAAGTTAATGCCTTCTGGGGAATGTGTGTTTCAATGACTTTGTAGTCGGGGTTCGTCACGAGGTCGTTGTCTCATGGAGCACTAGCCACAGTATAATGTATCCGTCATTCATGCCCGCCTCACTCCTTGCGTCTTATCGAGTCTACGCCGCTGAGGCGACCCCATGGGCCCATCGGCCCGTTCAGAACTACGCTTCTCTGCTCCAAGGCGCGGCGTAGGGACTGGTGGGGGCGGCATGAGCTCTGTAGAAGTGGCCGCTTTGAGCGATCTGCTTGAGGATTTGACAGAGGGTCGGTTGCTGGGAAGGAAAGTAAGCATCCGTCAGTGCATGTGGACAACGCACCGATCATCGGGTGGTCTGTGCTCAGCGTAAGGCCCACCTATAGTGCACCATATTTCTCTCTAGTTAGAGGGTCAGGACCCCCCACGCTGACCCTCTAACTAGAGAGAAATAGAGCACTGTAGGGCACCCCCGCTAATTCAAGCTTAGCGCGCTGCTCTTCTCAGCGGGGGAGACCGCTCACTGGCGGTCACTGGCCCGGCCCTTGCCCACCGTCACCCCGCCGTCACCCCCGCCGTCACCCCCGCCGCTCGCTGCCCCGACCCCGCCCACCCCGCCATCGTTGCCATCAGCGCGATGTGACGTCAACCCCATCAACATCAACGCCATCTGTCAACGCCGTGGCGACCGTTGACGCCGCATGTTCCGCGGCTGTCCCGGCCTGTCACCGTTGACAGCCCGCCCCCCGCGCTCGCTGTGCTCGACGTCGTTGAGCACAGCGAGCTCTTGTCCGTTTGACACGGGACCACGTGTATTTGATAGATATGATGTAATACCATTGATTTCCATCACATTTAGGCCCGCGTGTGCGCCGCTTGCCCGGCCGACCCTCCCGCCCGCCGTCCCGCCGTCCCGCCCGCCGTCCCGCCGTCCCGCCCGCCCCCCGCCCGCCCCTGCCCGCCCCCTGACCCAAAAAATTAAAAGTTGGGGAATCAAAAAAGAACACGTGCCGTATAGATGGCACCACTCAAATCGCGTTCGTTGCTGAGATATAGCGCATTCTTGTTAACTCAAGTTGATGATGCAATTTTTCAAAAAAAAATGAAAAAGTTGTGTATTGATTAGAAAACATGTGCATTACATGTTTTATCACAAAAAACATGTTCATTGCTGAGATATGATGTGTTCTTGTTAACTCACTTTGCACTATATATGGTTGTTAACTCAACTTAGACCCCAAAAATAAAAGTTGCATTTTGACTAGATAATATGGAGAGGACAAGTCTCATTGAAAATAGTGGTTTTCTTGTCAAGATATGACCCATTCTTGTTAACTCATGTTGCTTGTTAACTCAACCCCACCTGGTTTAACTGATGGGCCTCTATCTCCATAACTACTTGACCTAAGTATATGATTCAACTACTACCAGGAAGGTTCTCAAGGGTATTATCAATTGGACATGGTATTGGATTATTATCACATGATATAACAGCTATATTAACCATTCATTCATATAAAAGAGTATATGCAGGGCTTAAAATTGTAAGGTTGCTCACTTGTGACTTCAGATACCCTAGGCTAGGGCTCTAGTATGTCCTCTTCCAAATCCAAGTGGATAGGGCAGTAGAAATGCCATGCATTCTACTCATCAGTGGTATTTTGATTTCCATCAACTGTGAAAGATAACCTTGGATCTCCAGCTAACCTCACTAGATAAAACTGGGAAAGAGCTCATTCAAAGGGTATGGCACCCCACACCCATTTGGCATAATCATCCATATTATCTGCTCCCCACACCTTCATTTATTCACTGCCAAACATACTTCAGTACTGAGATGAGTAGTATTCTGTTGATATCCTGAGACCCTATGCATGGAATCTCATGATCCAAGTTGATATAGTATCGTAGGTGAGTCCACCATCATTCTACTCAGTGATAACCATACAGTGATGATTGGGGCCAGTCAAATCCCAGAGGCCTTAGCTGTCATATAACATAGTGTGATGATATGTTGGAGGGATAGGGGCACCATTTTTCTAGAGGTGGATCATACCCCTACCAGTAGATATGCTTAAATTTGCCAGATTCACACAGCTCATCCCCTGGTAAACTCATCATTATTGGGATAGATAACACTGATAATGGTACTGTGAGAGATCCATAATAGCTATAGGGTTGATTCAAGTGCTGGACAGGTTCATTTGAGGGTCTATACCATCCTACACCCAAGTTTTGGATCATACTTGAAATTATTTTCTGACCAGTTGTAATAGCGAAGACACTCTCTTTTGCTCTATGGGTACCTACCCTCTCTTCAGATAACTTCTCTGACATGTGTAGAAAGTATAACTAATTGAAGGACAGGGTCCTGATAGACATCCACATATCCTTATACCTCCATCTCAATGTCCAATACTGAGGCTATAGACCTTACCAGTCATGTAAACTGGTTTTGCATCCAATCTGTATTGGAATATCTGCCACAATTCATCCTCTAGGGACATGTAGAGATCAATCAGAGCAAGTGGGTTGGTATATACACCTCATTGACTGAATTCCCCGTGTCTTGATCTATAATCAACTTACAGATCATGGCTGCATTGCCAATAACATGTATAATAGCTTTCATGGTTATAATAGAGAGTAACATGAAATTACATGAGCACAAACATGGTGTGAGGGATATTATCTTATAGGTATGTTACTCTATATGCTCTACTCTCATTTCATTGAGGAATTCTTACCTGTGAGTGAGTTGTGGTCATATTGCAATAATAGCATACATACCATATATAAAGAGAGACAAGACGCTTAAAAATAGATTGGTTTTACAGGGCTATGATAGGTATCTATTACACCAGAAAACAACTTCAATCGTAATTATCTATTCATTCTTGACCTAGATATCAAGACATCATTGTGGTTGATCAAATTTGAAACAAAAACACTTTAAAAAAGTAGTTTAACAGTATAGTCCCAAGGTATAAGACTATACTCATATCAGAACATCTTAAGACTATATTACTACCTATCTACCTGTATAGCAATCATCTACATCTATAAAGAACTAGTAGAGATATTGCTAGATCAATGGGTCTGATGAATAATCAATGAGTGATATAGGTGAACTAATAACATACTGTTGGTGGGGATATTGGTCTCATCATTTGGGTATCTAGAGTGGTGCTTCAATCAACTCTATAACTTGTCTACTTATTGAAATATCATCTTATTAGAATCATTGAGTTAACAATTATACTTATTACAAAGTGAGTTAACAAGAACACATCATATCTTGCCAACAAACATGTCTTTTCAGGTAAAACCTCTATAGCATATGTTTTCTGATCAAAATGTAACTTTTATTTTTTGTGATCAAAGTTGAGTTAACAACTATACGTAGTGCATAGTGAGTTAACAAGAACACGTCATATCTCGACAATAAACGCGTTTTTTCTGGTGAAACCTGTACTGCCCGTGTTTTCCAATCAATATGCAACTTTTTCATTTTTTTTGAAAAAATTACATCATCAACTTGAGTTAACAAGAACGCGCTATATCTCAGCAACGAACGCGATTTGAGTGATGCCACTTATACAGCACGTGTTCTATTTTGATTTCCCAACTTTCGATTTTTGAGTCGGGGGGCGGGCAGGGGCGGGCGGGAGGGCGGGCGGGAGGGCGGGACAGTGGGTGGGAGGGTCGGCCGGGCAAGCGGCGCACGCGCGGGCGCCTAAATGTGATGGAAATCAACTGTATTACATCATATCTATCTATTACACGTGGTCCGTGTCAAATGGACAAGAATTGAGCTTGCTGTGCTCAACGACGTCGAGCACAGCGAGCGCGGGGGGCAGGCTGTCAACGGTGACAGGCCGGGACAGCCGCGGAACGTGCGGCGTCAACGGTCACCATGTTGTTGACAGATGTCAGTGATGGTGATGCCATTGACGTCACCAACGATGGCGGCGCTGATGGCAACGATGGCGGGTGGTCGGGGTAGCAGCGGGGGTGACGGCGGGGTGACG